TATATATATATATATATATATATATATATATAATATTCTCATTTGAAAATATTCTTGTCTGCCCTAGTCGCATCTTCTTGAACATCTATCCTGTATCAGCACAAGCAACTTTGGTTTTCGTGAATATTGGGGCTCAATTGCTTCTTTGTTTGTTACCGTTGTCTCAAAACATGTTATCTGTTGTTTTTTACCTTTCTATTGTGGAAAATATTTAAATTTTCATTTGTATACATTGTACATACATGCATACAATGTATGAATAATGCGAGAAAGTATGTGCTGTTAGCACCACTAGTTTATTCTTATTATGGAAATAAGAAATGGGAAAAGAGTCAAGGAGTGTTAGCACTTGCTGACGGGTCGAGCTGCTGCCCTGGGCTCACCCTGAGGAAGAGGCGCGGCTCGAAGGCCGTGGCGCCCTCGCGCACGGTGCGCGTGTACTCGCGCTGCTCGAAGGCGGGCGCGTTGTCGTTGACGTCCTGCACCTCCACGAAGAGGTTGGCAGTGCCCACGCGCCCTCCGCCGTCGCGCGCCTCCAGCGTCAGCGAATAGGACGAGCGCCGCTCGTAGTCCAGTCCTGCACACACACACACACACACACACGACACATTCAAATTATTAAGTTTTCCCGTCTGTCAGTCCGACTTTAGTACTATACATCCGGCTGTACGACGGTCTGCTCGACTGTCCAATGATCCGTCCGTCCGTCCCTCCATCCGTCCGTTCGTCCCTCCATCTGTCCGTCCGTCCATCCGTCCGTCCATCCGTCCATTCGTCCGTCCATCTCTGTCCGTCCGTCTGCGAACAACGCTAGCGGCTAATCCGTAAGCATGAGTTTCACTTAAGTTTATTCCCCAAGCGATCTGACTGACGACGCGGCCCCTTGAAATGGAAACGTATATTTTCAGAACCTGAAAGACGCCTCAAAAACACTTTCAAAATGTTTTGGTAAGTCAAAAGAGACTTAAATAAATTGCGTACGAGACATATGTGTTGAACTGAAGGAATTTTCCAAAATTGCAAGTTAAAAATAGTTATTGGCGTCTTCCTATTATTTTTCTTCCTGTTATTTTTTTCAGCTTCAGGGATGCTGACTTAGGTAACCCGCGCCGGGTACCCACCACGTCCCTCATGGAGACACATTAACCTTTTCACTAGACACAAACGCGGGCTCTGTCGTCAACTGACTCAGAATGCCTTCCGTGACAACGTACATGAAAGACAAGGGATAATCAGCCACGCACAGGACGCGACTCGAACCCGCCACCCTCCGAACCGAGGTGCTGGGTCGGCACATGATCTAGCCGCCTCGGCCAACCAGGTCGGACAATCACAATTACAGTAATGAATTCAGACGCTGTCTGGAGGAGAATTCAAACGGGTGGCTGCTCTGATCGGAAGTTTTCCGTGGTTTCTCCATTACAGACTAGGCGAATGCCGGAGCTAAGAAACGGGCCACGGCCCGCACGCGATCTTTCCGTCCTCTTCCTTGTTCCATCCTCACACACACTTATACACACGCAACCACTAAAACATCAGTCTTGTCGGGAGCTTAGAGCTTGTGTGGAATGGTGCCCCGCTGGAAGAAAATACCTGATTGGGGAAAACCCCACAAGCCGACGGGTAGTTCAGCGCTGAATCCAGCGGGGCAACATCACCGCCACCCTCTCGCGATAAACACGTGCAGTGCCCTTACAGAGCGGACGGCGTTTTGCAGTTGGCGAGACTCACCCTGCGAGCGGTTGGCGACGCGCAGGCGTCCGGTGGCGGCGTCCACGAGGAAGGCCTCGGCGCCGAAGCCGCGCAGCGCGTACTCCACGCGGCCGAAGGCGCCGCTGTCGGCGTCGCTGGCGACGAAGGCGGCGACGGGCGCGCCCGGCGCGGCGTCCTCGCGCACCGCCACGCGGTAGCTGGCGCGCTCGAAGTGCGGCGCGTGGTCGTTGGCGTCCAGCAGCGCCACCTCCACGCGCGCCGCGTCCGCCTGTGCCGCAGACCGCAAGCCCTTCTCAGCGCTCCACCGCCAGCCACGGCTCTCGTGCACCCACGAAAGCATACTAGTGTACTACGCTTTTAGGATGCTTTGTCAGAGGCAACATATAAATATACTGACGTGTGAACGTTGGTTTTGGAGACGTTACGTTTAAAAATGGAAAATTATTTCGATTTAGCTTCCATCACACACAGCCAGACTTTTGCAAACGAATTTCTACAATTAGAATGATGCGAGTATACATGGCTGCCAGTGCAAGCTTTAATTTGCAACTGGAAGAACGGCTTTTAGCATAAAACTTGCGAAATGCAATGGTGGCTGGTGTCCCAACAAACTTGGGGTTGAAGTTTCATTCAATGACGGAAAAAGCAATTTCCAAAACTCAGAACACGAATATATAATAACACGTAAGCAAGTCATGTAAATTAATTAAAACTAATTTTAATAAAAGTCTATATTGAAACACTACTTACATTCTCTTTAGTGCAAGGTCCGTGTCAGGTCCATTTGCCTCCCGCGGACGTAGGTCTGACTTTGATTTTTCAGTGGCAATCAAGTTTTTTTGTATTAGTTCTACATGGAGACAATCGACGGTAATAGAATTCACACAATACACAAAACCTGATTTCGGAAATATGGCACACCAGTACTCTGGAACAAGCACTATAGTTTGGACAGTTTTACAATAGTTTATTTAATTATCTTGGATGTTATTGCTGCTACTGGTGTTAATGATAACAAAATAAAACGATTCTATTTAGAAAATCTCATTACCCTGGTATACATTGCAATAACGAAAGATCTTCCAAAGAATAACCAAAGACTAGTATTAACAACGACGCTCTAACACTGCTGTCGAGAAGATCTCTGCAGTCACTGTGAGAGACAAAAGACGTCCTTCCAAACGCCCAACTTTACAACAAGGACTCATCAAGTGTGCATATTGAATCAACAAACCTAACAACAAATAAAAATAAATTTTCCAGGCATCATAAATAATGCATTTAATACCGTCAAGAATTGATTGAACTTTTAATAACACACGAAATGCATAAAATTAAGTTGCAGCTAGTGTCTGACAAATCCAAAAAATTGGTATTCCCTTCAGAAGGCGCTCCGCGTTCTTTGAAACTCTTCTGCTCTGTGAGGTGATGGCTGGTTGCCGCGCGAAAACAACAAGGACGCTTTCCCAAAGCAAAGGTCTAAAGAGTAAAGGCAGTAAAAGACCTTAAGAGCGTGACATGGTCCTCTGCCGAGGAGAGCATCAGACGATTGGATGTTCTTTGATTTAAAAAGTATTTCGTATACATCGATATTTCTGCAGTATATTTAAAATTGACTATCATTAAAAGTAAAATGTATGTTCATAACATAGATGATTTTTGTTCGATTATGAGGGGGTTATGCAACCGTACAACCTAAGTACAGCCGCCACTGGTGACCTGCTGCAAAACAAAACTGCTGCTGAACAAAACCACATCAAATGGATTTCCAAGAAGCAGCACGCACACTGAATGAGAACAAAACAAAACAAATCTTGTATATCATTGCAATAAATTAATTACTTTAACAAACACACGAATTCTTCACGAATACTGCAATAATAATAGTGAATACACACTTTTTGTATACTCGTTTGTCCGATTGTTATTGTTTTGTATGACTTCTATTACCGACAATTTTCCCCACAGAACTAATACAAGAGTGAACACTGGAAATCAAAGTCAGAACCATGTGCATGGGAGGTGAACATATCTGACACGTACATTAAAAATAAAATTATGTAAGTAGTATTTGAATATAGACTTGTATTAAACTTAATTTACATGATTTCCTTATGTTTGATTATATATTCGTTTTCTAAATTTTGAAAATGAATTTTTGTCATTCGTTGGAGCTCCAACCTCCAGTTCTTTTGGGTCACCAGCAGCAACTGCTCTCACATAACCGGATTCTGCATAATTTTCTTTCATTAAAATAATTGTTGCGTCTTTTACGCAATAGTCCCTTCAGCCCTCTTTGAGCGTTGAATGTCTATACATTGGAGTAATCCTCCGATTAATTATTTGTCGTTTGCCTCGTAACGGCGCGGTCAGTCGATAAAGAAAAAAGAAAAGATAAGCACTCGAAATAAAAATTAAGCAATACTACTGGCTTTTAGGCAAACATTCGTCAATCTCATTGGCCAATAAACCAATGATATTTACACAACAGTATTAAAAGCCGCTTGGACTTATAGAATTCAACTGTGGAGTATTGCGGCTAAGTCAAACGTAGAAATACTGCAGCAATTTCAATCAAAAACGTTAAGATTGCTTGCCAATGCCCCGTGGTTTCATTGAAGTAGAATATTGTATAATGACATTATTGTACCCACAGTATACCAAGAAGTCCTGTTCAGTGGCCAAAAATATTAGAAACGCCTAGAAAATCACCGAAATTAACTAGCATTAAACTTACCAGACAATAGCCAAGACTTCAAAAGATTGTGTTTATTTCATCCTTTGGATCTCTTAAAAAGACTGCTTCTACAGAAAAAATCTGCTTGCTACAGAAAGAAAATGCATGAGGAATTGTGAATGTCCAGTTCCTTCACATGTCATTATAAAACTTTGTCAAACGGTTTGCCATATGTCCGGCTGTAACAGATTCCCAATTTTATATATATATATATATATATATATATATATATATATATATATATATATGTGTGTGTGTGTGTGTGTGTGTGTGTGTGTGTAAAAAGAAAATTAGAAAGGAGTGAGTGCCTTGCCTCCACTTCGCCCTGCGGGCCGTCCACCAGCGCCAGCACCTCGAGCGCGAAGCGGCGGCGCGCGGCGTCGGCCACGTCGTAGTCGAGGGCGGCGGCGTCCACCACCTTGATGACGACGGGCACGCGGCCCGTGGCGGCGGTGGGCAGCACGGCGAAGGCGCCCTCGGCGGCGCCGGCGGCGCGCAGGCGCAGGCGGAAGCGCGCGTTCTCGCCCACGTCGCGGTCCTCCGCCACCAGCGCCAGCCCCGGCAGCGGCGTGTCCGACCCTGCGCGCCAAGGCTCCGAGTTGCGCGGCGCTGAACCTCGACGGGATTCGATTGAACCCCGCACCCTGCCTCATTTCAGTTCCGTTCGTGCCTTATTTTAGGTGGCTCGGGCCATCGGGCCCGCTCTTCCGTCTGACAGCGCAAATTTCGCGACGCTCCTTTCACCATTTTGCGGAGAAAGTAGCTATTACTTGGGAGACGATTCAGGCTCTTCTTTTAGGCTTGAGGGACATTTGAAGTCGTAGGCTTCCGCGGCCAGAGTCGTGCAAATGATCTTGTCTGTCCGGGTGACACCGCAACCAAGGCTGTGGTGCCTACGTTTCGGCCGTCTTTTCATGGTCTTCCTCACGGCTGGTCTGCGCCTGCCCAGCCCTGAGGAAGTCCACGATCAGATGGGTGAAACGTCAGCACCACAGCCTTCGACGCGGAGTCACCCGGACAGACAAGATCATTTGCTCGAGGAAGTTTTACATGCAGTAAATCTACGACATGGAGTAGACGGCTTTACTTTCCCTGAGAAGGAAAGCGCACGAAGGATGATTTCGCCCTTAGACCTCCGCAGACTCGGGTGCGACATCCGACACGCTAACCGTGATCACCGAAGCCGCCTTGTATTTTCTTTATTAACTCATTTTCAAATCATTTTCAAAATCTTTACGTGTCATCCTTTAAAAGTTGAGTCATTCCATCTTATAGCCTCAATATATCCAAAAGAACGCGGATGTATCATTGTTACTAAACAATTTTCGGGCCCACCATCTTCGTTCACTTCTTTTATTTGTATTTTTAATGAATGACAGAGAAACACTCGCGAGGTCTAGTTCCTGAGACATTTTCTAGGGAATTTCCTCTGCATTGTGGAAGTCGCGTGGCAGCCCGCAAACGACGCTACATTGAATCGGGGTTGCTCCCAACAGAGGCGCAACTTCCCTAGTGTGGAGCAGCCTTTAGAGACAATGTCCTCTTCTTCAATGCATAGTAAGTTATTCAATTTCGATTAAATCACTGGAATCAGATTGCATTCCTTTGAACCAAACGATATATTTCAAATAAAAATCACATTCTTCATTAACACCTACGAAACTTAAAAATTCTTTAAATATTGCGATTAACATCAAGTTTCAAGGTAGGTCGTTTAGACATATTTCAGGAAGGGAACAATGCAGATGAAGGCTCTGGACAAAGGAAAAGCTGGCAAGGCAACGCATTTTACTGTGTGAGATAGGGGAGAGATGTACAAATGAAACTCGTAACAAATAAGCGACCCACGATCCACGTTCCTTTGCTAGTACATACCGATGTCTTCAGACACGTTGATATGGAATAGCTTCTGGTTGAAGGAGGGCATCTGGTCGTCCACGTCAGTCACTATGATGGTGACCTGCGACGTCGCCGTGTCTCCAGGCAGCTCGTTGTTTATCAGTTCAGTGGCCTGGAAAGCAGTGAAGTAATCGATTTATTGGTTGAATCCAGGCGCGACACCTGCCAAGGATATTAGTTCCGTAAGTGTAGTACATGATTTATCGCGGAAGGTGGTGGTGGTGGTGATAGTGGTGGCGAGATCCGGCGCCAACCTACGTCGGCTTACGTGGATTTTCTTCATTACGGTATCTCGCACCAGCGGGGCACTGCCCCAGCCGGGGAAGCTCTAAGCTCTCAATTGGTCTCCCGAGATGTGTGACGGTGTAGTGCATGTACGTGTATGTGTGTTTGTGTAAGAAAGGGGATGAGGACAGGACATGGAAGAGGACGGAAAGATCGCGCGCATTCGCCTGTTGATAGGAGAAATCCCGTAAAACTAAGAATTCGAGCAGCCTGTCGATGGAAATCTGCTGCAGACAGCGGCTGAATTCGCCCTAGCCGTGTTGCTAGTGTCGCCATCGGGCTGCTTACCCGGATGGTGAAGGAGTAGATGCCGCCGGCCTGCAGGATGTCCGGGTGCTCGCGGTCGAGGGCGACGCCGGAGGTGACGAGGTCGGCGGCCGCCTCGGGGCCGGGGCCGGGGCCGGGGCGCGGCGCCAGGGCGAAGCAGCCCAGGTGGTCGCCCTCCAGCGACAGGCGCACGGGCCGCGGGCTGCCCTCGTCGCCGTCGCGCGCGCGCACCGACAGCACCGACGTCCCCTGCCACACCGCCGCGCGCCCTGGCCGTCACCCTTTCCGCCCTTCCAGCTGCGCGTGCGCAGAGCCTCCGCAGCGGAGCACGCCAAGAGCTCCACGCTGCGCGAAAAGACTCAAACGGCGCCCAACCAGGGATGCTGTGTCGATGGTTTTCTACAGATATCGATGTTTTAAACATCGGTTTATTAGTAGGAAGTTTTTGCACCTCGAAGCGTTAAATAAATCGGCAGATGTATCGATCTTCTGCGCAAGCGCAGTTGAAATTTTGCATCACTTTTGTGCACATGCGCATGCAAAGAATATCGAGATTGCTGCCCTCTAATGTGACCAAAAGCTCTCTAGTGTGCCTACAGCGTGGCGTGCAGCAGTCCACAGCACTATCGATCTTCTGCGCATGTACACTCTGGGTGGCGTCATCTGTACATAGGCATAATATCGGGAGTGCTGTAGATTTCAGTACGCTTTGCTGTGCTAAACGTCCCTATCAAGGGAGACGTTTTTTTTATCTTTACGTTTTTGATGTTTTGAATTAAAAAGACACGTAGACTGATTTTTTTATATGAGATAGCAAATGTTATTCCTACCGATCTGAGAAGCCGAAAGCAAAAATTCTAGGTGTGTATCTAGTGCCTGAAAGCGTAGGCCCTCTCGGTGAGATCGGGCGTCGGGGCCACCTGGTCGGGAGCGGCGTGTGGGGGTGGGGCTGGCGGCTCACCGGCGGCGCGCCCTCGGCGAGGGTGGCGGAGAAGGGCGCGTTGAGGAAGCGCGGCGGCTGGTCCTGCACGTCCAGCACGTCCACCAGCAGCGCTGCCGTCGCGCTGAGGCGCCGCGCGGGGTCGGCGGCCCCGTCCACGGCGCGCAGCGGGACCTGGTAGGCGGCCTGGCGCTCGAAGTCCAGCGCCCGCGCCAGCGTCACGCGCACGCCGAACAGCCCCTCCGACACCTGCGCACCAGCCCGCGCTCAATCACTCCACCAGCGCCTGCACACCATGCCCTGTGCTCAAACACTCCACACTCTACTCCACTAACATGGTCTGTTCAAAGCACACAATTTTTTCGTGAGATTTCATTTTTGAGCTGTTCTCGTTCTGCAATCGTTTATCCTTTCCTACACACGACCTTTGGGACATTCTCGTAAATTCAACAAAAGCACACCAGCATTCGATCCACTCAAATTCGAAAACATATTGATATATCTTTATATTATCATTACAAGAACGCAAGATTCATGATTATGGCAAAATATTATTCTGCTCAAAGCAACGCAATATTCCCACTAAGAGCATATGACCGCTGACGAGGCACCAAAGATTGATGCAAATGCTCCAAAGATGATAATATGAAGCAACGTTGCCAACACTGAGTCCGTATTTAAGGAGGAATAGTTAAACTACGGTTTAGCGACCATTATTCGTAAAAATTTAAACTATCCTTGAATCACACGTATACTGGAAGTAACTATTGTCGGAATAGGTGTGATATGCTATATAAAAAATTACTTCCTGTAACTGTAGTCAGAATCCACGTTTAGTAGGTCCTTGACACCGAAAAATCGATTGACGGCTGGACGACCCTCCGTCTGTGAACTGCGCTAATCGCTAAACCGTAAGAAGAATTTTCTCATCATCAAAATTGACATTCTGCGATCGTTCTATGGCGCTGCCCTTAGAATTTAAAACGGATAATTTGATTTTTGGAGGTTCTTTACAAGTAACCATAATTACATTTTCAAAATGTTCAAATATTTTAAGTTTTAATTAAATAATTACTTTAAAAAAGTTGAATAGCTAGTAAAATTGTAGAAAATTGTCTTTCATATATCTGAACTTTCTTTTGCTTTAACTTTCTTTCTAGGGCTTTTCTCCAACCGACAGTCGGTTACCCTTTCCGTCCCGATGTATCGCGATGGACGCCTATTGGACAACATACTAGTCACCGACACTCTGGTGGGCTCCTCTGATCTGGGGTGAGCACAACGCGAGGGCCTCCGCGATAACACAAGGGACAAAGAACCATGCCCGAGGTGGGACTCCAGCCCGCGACCCTTCAGACAGAAGCGCTGAGTCGGTACACGCTCTTAGCCAGGGACCTAAACAGCTTATTCGTCTCTGCGGGCATACCTTTTCTGTGTGGACGGCGAAGACGGAGCACGGGTGGTCGGCGGGGGCGGGGCCGGGCGCGTGGTCGCACGTGACCTCCACGTCGGAGTTGACGCCGCCGTCGGCGTCGGCGACGCTGATGTTGAGCGCGAGGTCGCTGCCCACGGGTGTCGTCTCGGCCAGCGCCAGCGCGTACGGCCGCCCCAGGAACTCGGGCGCGTTGTCGTTCACGTCCAGCACGGCCACCTCGCGCCGCAGCGACACCGTGTTGGGCTCCGCGCCCGCCAGCCCCTCGTCTGCGCGCCGTCAACCACACATCCCTCATAGCAGCACTTATTCGGTTGCAATTTTCCAACATTCAAAGAGCTAAGCGAAAATGAGGCCTGCGCCATTCTTTTAAGTGTCCCTTGTTTGATCCAAGGAAAAATTTTAAGAAAAAAAATTGGTGCTGTTTTTGAAAGAGCAAAAATTGTTGAAAAATTCAAAATTGCTTACATTTCACGCAAAATTACGCGAAAACTACTCTACTCAAATTTTCGAAAAACTATATATGGCCTTTTTTCAAGATCTGTCTTTTAACAACAGATTTTATTAAAGAAAAAAGCTCTATTTTCAATGTCTTCAGAGTGTGGAAAATTATTTCCTCTAACACGTTTGGTAGTCAGAATGCATGTTTCCTTGTTATGGCAAAACATCCGCCTGTCTGTCCGTTTTGGTCAAAGCTACCCGTTCAACCGATCTTCTCCAAAATTGATATTCTTCGATCAATTTAAAGGAACTCGAGGTTCTTGGACTTTGAATCAGATATATCATATTTAGGGTACTTTGGATGGAGACTCAACATTCTCAAACATTTCTAAAAAATGGCTATGGCTTCGAATTTTTGGTTTTAACTTTCTTTCCGGATAGCCTAAAGACGCTGAAAATAATGGCGCGGGAGTCGATATTTCGTTTAAATCACAGATTTTTCAAAAATTGCGAAAGTTAAATTTCTTCGGCGTCTTTTTACATCTAGATGAAGATTTTTTCCTTTAATGTAATCCGTTCATTAAAGACAGATCTTGAAATAACATGTCCAAAATACAGTAGTTTTCGCGTAATTGTGCGGGAAAATTAAGCAAACTTTATTTTTAAACATTTTTCCCAAAAGCGTCTCCAAATTTATTCTTGAAATTTTCTCCTAGTATGTATCAAAAAACGATAAAAAATGGTTATCATTTGAAAACTTCTGACTTGACGACATAAATTTTCTTTTAAAATGAGTTCAAAAATAAGTTCTTTAAAAATCGTCATGTACAATTTAAAAAAAAGTTTTTGACGTAATTTTTGCTTGAATTTAATGCTATGTATAAAAAAAAAGATTTTCTCCAACAAATTATTTCCATGGATGGAACAAGGAAGGTTAAAAAGAATGATACAAGTCTGATTTTCGTTCCACTCCCAGAATTTTCGTAAATTGAAAAATAACAAATAACGCGAGAAAGATCGTGCTATTGTAGAACCATTAGTTTCGATAACTTAATGAATCATATTTTTGTTTAGAATTCACACTAATTTTGGAGACTTTTATTTCAAAATAACAAAAGAATATAGAAGTTAGGATACGTGTAGTGTTAAGCGATATCGCCTTGGACAGTTGAGAATCTTTGCCACAAACTTTTTAATGCAGTGGTGTCTAAACGAATAGTGTGCCGCTCTATCGAGGGTGGCTGGCAATCTTACTTGGAGTGTGGGGGGGGGGGGCGCCTCACCGGTGATGCTGATGATAACCTCGAAGAGGCCCTGCGTCTCGCGGTCCAGCGGCCGGCGCAGCGTCACCACGCCCGAGTCGCGCTGCACGGCCAGCCACTCGCCGCTCACGCTGTACGCCACGCGCGCGCCCTCGGGGTCCGCGCCTCGCAGCCGGTACACCGGCGCGCCCACCTGCGCACGCACCACCTCTCTCGCAAAGACTCTTTACCAGAGAAAACATGTCTCGTATTTTATAAAACGTTATGCTTTCATTCACAAAATGTATGTAGTCTGAAACGCCCAAGTCATATCATGTATTTGGTAACATAGCGTCCATATCATCAAAGTTACAATTTCAGAGTAGGAGCAGTTAAAATGTTTACATAATACTGTCCATCCGGATTACCAAAAGAACTGACGCGATTATAAAATCAAACGAATTGATGCGTGTGGCACGATTTCCCGGAAAGACGAAAATGTTGCGCTTGGAAAACGCACAATTCATGAAGTTCTTTTTTTAACTTCAAAATCAGATACCCGATTTCGAAAGAAGGTAGACAGGAAGAATGACAAAGGATATTCATTATTTCGAAGCATCAATCTTACTTTAAGTACAGTATGATTGATACTTCACAACTTGCGGCCTACGTCCTCACCCCACAATCGTTTCTACTTTACTCTTTTCTTCTTTCTTATAGTTATTATCGAGCATAAAGTAGCCAAAACACAACTATTTGTACGTCTTCCATCTGAATCGCCAACAAAACTACATAAAATATTGGGCGAAATGTAATAAGTTAGTCAAATTTTATTGGCAAAGTTCCCTTGTCAACGTTTAAAGATCTTCGACAAAGTCCATCGTCTAAAATGTTTGTCACATACCTTTTAGAGTGTAGTACCCGCCATTCACAAGGGGAGCACACAGGGCAAATGGGGAAAAGAGCGGGGTAGATGCGGAGGCCGTGGTAAGCCTTCGGTGTAGAACAGTGTATAGGAGGGGGACTAACAAGGAACTGATTTGAGAGGTCAGGAAACAAATGAACGTCATGCAGGGCAAAGACATTGCAAGGGACAGTAATGAAGCCATTTACAAACGAGCGAACTGTACGCAAATATCCTGACAAAATGAGTGCATAGACATAATTTGCAATTATATTTCCAATAGTGAGAAAGCAGCTGCTGTCAAAGCGGTGACTTCTTGTGGCAATCTCCGTATTGGTGGGTGGACAGTGGCGCTACCTGCGTGTCCTCCCGCAGGGCGAAGCGCGCCATGTCTCCACCCGGGAGGAAGTGCGGGGCTCGGTTGAGCAGCGCGCTGCCCTCCTGCGCGGCCGCCGCCGCCAGCGCCGCCCCCAGCGCCAACAGCCGCGCCCACGCCCACGCCATCGCTGTCACCGTCGCCGTCCGCTCGCTCGCTCACTTCTGCAAGCGGAGCAAACCGCAGTCAGTACGCAGCAAGCGACAGAGCGAGGCCCCGCGGCGCCGCAATGCCGTCTGCCCTTCTCGCACTTTCTCTCCAGCGGCGGTTCCGCCCAGCGGTGCGGTCACCTGTCGGTCGAGCGGAAATAATGAAAATAATATTTTCCTCCCACTTGTTATGCTCCTTAATAAAAGTTATCAGGATATTTTGCAATATATATATATTCATATATATGTAGTGTGTTGAGCGCGCCGCGGCGCGCGCGCGTGTGTGTTACGGCGTCTGGCATACGTTGAGAGTCACATTCTCGGAACAGACGGGAACCGCCGATTGAATTCCGCGCCCCACAACAAGGAACTTGGAAGTCAGTGGAGAGAGAGGGCTGCGCCGGGTTTCGAGGTCGGGATTCGACTCGGAAACAGGAAGCGAGACCCGTGCCGGAAGGAACTGCAATACGAGAAGGGTGTTGTCTGGTGTTCATGGGGTAATGCACAGAAAACTACCCATCACAGCAGCCGGCACTAGAATTCTCCTCCAGACAGTGACTGAAAGAGCATTGTAGTTCGAAAATCTTGCCCGACCCCGAACCCTAGCCTCCCTGACCAAAGGAACTTCTCCTGAGAAGGAATTAAAACATTTTGGCATAACTGCGAAAATATTTTGAATAAAAATACTGGGGCACCTACACATTAGTTTTTGTTTTCGCTAACACTACTTGTTCTTTCGTTAGGCGGCGCTGCCAGAAGTCTGAAGATAGCAGGAGCATACTATATACGCGCATCTTGTTGTACCAAGAGGATTGCTCCCCGGGGTGGGCACCTATGCCGCTATGCGCTGTGCCGCACTTGCCGCCCACGCTCAAAGACGCCGAAAGGCTGGTGTCTGGGCCTCGCCCTTTCGGTAGCCTTCCAATTCAATGCCTGGGTCGGGGCGCCCTGCCAGCTCGGAGCAACTAGCTTTCCGGGCTAGTGCCGGAGTCGAAACATTGCGCCACTCACAGTGCACAGGGTCAAGTCTTTCCTGGGGGGGACATGGCTGTAAGAAAATTATTGGACATAAAAAAATGCATTTGTAATTTACCGAAAATAATACCGAACTCTGACCCTCCTTGCAAACTCTGATTATGTAGAAAGCGTCAACTGAGCTCTAATATATTTTGTCTCGGTTTGTGCTGTAACTTTCATAATTGGAATATACCTTAAAATTTTGCAGGTACGCCAAAATGAGAGAAAAGTGATATATATATTATATATATATATATATATATATATTATATATTATATATATATATATAACATACCAAGTCACATCATGTTTTTCATAATTTAATCAATAATACTTATTATTGGCCATTTTCTGCAATTTTTAAAGTACGAATATGAATATGTGTTTCCTTCTACCCAAAGATCAGCATAACGGAAAAGGCGTTTGAACGTATTCTGAAAATCATATGATTGGTGCTCTGCTGACTAAAAGCGCCATTGCTTGAGTTTCACATTTGAGGGTTGATCGCGTTAATATTAACTTTAATATTGTAAGTGCAGGCTAGATTCAAAAACATATTTGTACTAGCTGATCCCTTGCCAATATAACGCACAAAAGGAAGAACAATACATGCACTTTAAGAAAATTGAAACACCCCCAATATATTGATTCATGTCTTCAGACCTTATTAACTTATATTAATGAAATTAAGGACGTTCAGTTGCAATTTCCGGAACAAACAATCACACTTAACTGTGAACACATATTTAACCTGTTTATGAAAATTTAATCAACATGTTATAACCAAAATCTAGACGTGAATGTTGTAGTGAATTTAAACAGGGATTATACTATTCATATTATTAAAAAAACCATACATACTTATAGTAATAATATTCACTGAATTTTAGTAAAGGATAACGTCTTCTTAAACCCTTCGCTTAAACATTTAAACTGCTTCCTTAAACCTTAAACCTGCCTCCTTTAAACCTAGCATTTGCATACACTCCCTAACACTTAAATCTCTCATTCTTCACATCATTAACTGTGAATTCACTCTCATACGCCTTTCCATCCACCCCCATTCCCTCTGAGAATAAGTCTATTGCTGATCCACATATCGATGTCCTTCCCACATCGATAAAAAAACGATTTTCGAGCGTCGAAAGCAACACAGAGCTGCCAGTGCTTCTCCAAACAATAAAGTTGAATTGCAAAAGATTTGGATGAAGCATGAATGGAAAGCACGTAGTCGAAAGGCCGATTAGGAAAAAGAAATGAAAGAGAGTAGACATTTAATGTTATCTTTTTTGACTTGAAACTAGAATTGTGTCGCAAGAGCAACGACAAAGCACTGATGCTCGTGCACAGCTGGCATCTCGAGCATCGCTCCACCTTGTTGGAGTTCCACTTTACAGACGCTGTAAGGAAATTGTATACAACAGTTTTGTAAGTGAGTAACACACAATTCTAGATTCCTCCTAAAAACACCCATCTCAAGCTCTGACTCGGGGGGGGAGGTGAGGGGTACATGCGCTTGCGCTGTCATCGAAACTAATGCTTCAGCTTTTACATGCAGAATTAACAAATTTTGATGCTGTTTTCAAAGGGTGTACGTAACATCGAACGCGAATGAGAGAGCGGCAATGTCAAAGAGTATTCCGAAAACGAGTGAGAGGCTGTAGAGATCATTTCATATAACATCCTGTTCTCTCGTTTTTCCCGCACGCAAACGAAGGGTAGCAGAGCAGAGGAGAACCCGTCGGCCGGTTGAGGAGATCGGCGAGGCAGAGCAAGAGTGGGAGGCTGCCGCGGAAGGGCCGGAGCGCGGTGGCAGGGGGGGGAGGGGGGAGGGAGGAAGAGGAGAAAGCTGCTTGGAACCAAACGCCCCTCGCGCCTTACGTTGCGTTGCGGAAGCGCTTGGCTTGCCTCTCACCCCCCCCCCCCTCATCCGCGCCCCCGACTCAACATCTCCGCCCGGGCTTGCTCCGTTAAAGTTAGCGTCGCAGCGTTTTCCAAAGAACCAGAAATTACACATTTGTCGCACTTCAACTTATCCCTCTAGGAGTATATACAGATTCTGCTAGCCTGACATCAAGTTAGTCCGTTAATTGTGAGAAAACCAAGATATTACATAGATAAAAAATGGTAAATTGTCGCTTTTTTGTTGCAAATTAATTTCTCAAAAAGAACATTCGTCGTTTTCAAGTTAGTCGAAAATTGTACTTCTGGTATAACTTATAGAGCAACAAAATGTATTTGACCACTATTTAGCACCCCAAAAAGCGACGATTTCCTTATATTTTTTTTAAATTTATCACTGTAATATTTTGTTGTCTTTTGTAATTGTCAAGTTAAATTCATATGAAGTTAGCGGAAAATTGCATTTCCGATATTGATTGAAGAGCAACATTTTTTTTGCTAAAATAATTAATAAAAAAACACAATTTCCAATGTACTATTTTTTTTTTATTTTCCTCTAGCATCTTCATTTGCCTTGAAGTTTCTGGCTTAATAATATTATTAATTTGGATAAATGACTCCTTTCCGACAAGTTTTAGAGCGACAAGTATTCTTTTTGGACAATTACAATTTCATTGCATTTCATTAGCAACAAATTACAATTGTAATTCTGTTTTTATTTATCTATATAATATATTATATATAATATATTAAAATATATCATTAATTGATTTGTATACTTCAATTACAATAAAACGAAAGTTACTAAGGCTGATTAAAAAATAGAGCATTACACACGCGGTAAAAGTAATTTTATTTTCCTTCC